TATGAAGAGTCTCTTTGTATTTTGAGAAGAAACTCCTTTCGTTGTGCGAACTCTTTTGATTGTTGTTCCAAGCTGATCTCTTATCCAACCAGAACCTCTCTTGGTTGGGGATCTTTCCCTGTCATAACCCTATAACCTCTTGGGGCCATGCTCAAAACCAAAAAATAGAAATGTTGATGAAAGTTTAGCAGGTGATTGGCCAGGCCGTTCAACTGCTCTAGAAAACTTTGCAGACTCTCCTCCCACCTTGAAAAAAGGGTAGGGTACATATAACATATCTCGTACATATGAAAAGCGAGAGGCGGCATCCACGGACGGGCAATCAGAGGTCAGAGCGAGGCAAAGCAACTAAGAGACGAGACGAGACGAGACGGAACGACGGCTCCGACAGCCGACAGCCGACGGACTATGCTTTTGGTCCGAAATTCGACTCCGAGTTGCAATGTGTGGAAAAGAGATGGAAAGCAACAGCAAAGACAGGGAAAGAGAGCAACAGAAACAGAAAGAGCAAAGCTTCGGCCAAAGCCTCTCTTTTGGCTCACCCTTACAGCCCCCTCCTTCCCTCCCCCCCCGCACGACCAATATACCCTTTGTAATCATCGTCTTCATCTCTTTCGACCAACTCGCTGAGCCGCCTTCTTCTCTTACCCTTCGCCCGCATGGAGTACCATTCAAATCTCCGTTTTCTTCCCCCTCTCGACCATTCCCGATACCCCTTAGCGCTGCCATCCTCTCTGCTACCCTTCAACTCCTCCCCCCCCCGTCCACCCCTTCTTCCATTCTCTTTCGGCCATTCAGTACCTTTCAGCTCTCCCCTTCTTCCGCCGCTCCAGTAGCTGTTTAACTCCGCTCTCTCTCTCCCTCTCTACCACTCTCTTCTCCCGCAGTCAGTACCTTTCAAGTGCGGGCTGGAGCTGGGGCTGGGGCTGCTGCTTTCCGCTGGCTTTGGCTTTGGCATCGGCATCGGCTTCAGTTCAGCTTCTGCTGGCTCATCAAAAAAGCCAAAAGTTGTTGAACGTGAAATTATTGTACGCGAACACGAGTAAATAGCAGCGGAGCAGCCAGGCAGCCCCACACGAGACTGTATCTGTGGTGTGTGTGTGTGTGTGTGCTTGTATAAGTATTTATGCACACACACACACAAACACACACAGGCAGACATGAAGCAACTTTTGACTGGAAGGTTTATTTTTTTTCTTTTTGTATTTTTTGCATGTGTTGTTGCGACGCGACGCCAAGATAAATAGCAACAACACGAAAAGAAAACGGCAAAAAGCCGATGCTAGCGGCTAGCTCTGACACCGACGCCGACGCTGACGCAGACGCTGACGTCGATGCCAAAGCAGAGCAAAGCATAGATGCATCAGATTTCGCATTCAAGTGAAATTTATGGCAATCATAAAGCTTAACTTGCTTTCGAGGTAAAATATGATGAACAGCAGCAGCAACAACAACAGTACTAGCTACATGGGAAGGAAAGAGGGGAATAAACTGAAAAGTAAGCAGTGGAAGAAGGAGTAGAACAAGCAGTAGAAACATCACAGAAGAAGTACTCTTGAGAGAGAGAGAGAGAGAGAGCAGTGGAAGAAGCAGTTTTAAAAGCAGTTTTGAAGCAGCACGAAGTTAAAGATCAAAGCAGTAGAAGCAACAGTACTCGTAAAAGCTTCAGCGGAAGCACAACAAAAATGAATAGGCGAAGTAGCAAATGCAGAGCAGGCTTCAGCATAAACATAAGAATGTACGAAAATAATACGCATATTTTCGCTCTTCGAGTGGCATACCGTATGAATAGCACTTTAAGCACTTTAATAAACGGAAGCACAAGCAGTAGGAGCAGTAGAAAAGGCATCATCAGAAGCGGTTGTGTTAAGCAGTGGAGTGGAAGCAGAAGAGGGGGAAAACGCTGCAGCAATGGCAGAGGCGTCAGCAGAATAAACTTACAGTTAACATTTGGCATACGTCAGCATTTCATAGTTCAGTTGACGCACCGCTCCCGCTGCCGCTGCCGCTCCTAACCACAGAGAGAGAGAGAGAGAGAGCAGCAGTTATCGCTGCCAAGCTATTGCCCCACCACCCACCACCCACCGCACGTAGCAACAGCAACAACCCCGCCACCGCACAGGTCGCTGCTTCGATCGCGCGACGTAGGCAAGAAAAGCGCTGCCTCAGCGCATGGCTTTCTTGCTGGCTGCTGCCGCTATCAACAGATTAGTCATCTACACACTATGCGATTACCATACACACATGCACACAGATAAGCTGATATATTCCACAGATACAAAGACACATAAGGGGTAAAAGAATGCCCCAAAGGTATGTACATATGTACATACTATGTGCTTCCCCCTTCAGTGTGTACATTCATGCAGCGGGAACAAATAGAAACTTTTAATCAAATATGTACTTTAGATAGTTATAGATAGATAGATACATAGATAGAAATCTAGCCCACCCTAGAGTAGACACGTACCTGCACAAGATTCACTCAACCCAACGAAAGTGAGAAGCGAGTGAAAAGAGTGAAAACAATGGCCCAAAGGGGGAGAGGATGGGAGAAATCTGAGAGAAAACCAATCTGATAAGATCTGTACTTTTGCTGGATGCATCTACACCTGTGTGCACTTACGGCCTTTGTATCTTTCCATCTTCTTTTCTAAAGCGAAAGTGTGCGATGGGGCAGTGAAGGCAAGGTGTTAAAACAGGAAGCACAGATTACTAGATGTTTACCTTAGATATACTATGTACATATGTAAGATTGAATATCCAGCGAAAGTTCAAAGCAGATAAGATACGATCGGCACTTCAGAAAGTTCCAGATAGATAGTTACAATAGCTGAACGAAAATCTACGTAACAGAGGAAGCACAAATCTTAAGATGAGATAAGATCTGTTAGCTTAGATCAGCGGCAGACACCGATCCAGGTCACAGAGAACGGGACACATCGTAGGACACCTTATGCACTGGCTTGTCTTTCGTTTGGGTTCAGTAAAGCTGAACTTTTCATTGCTCTACTATTTCGCCATATAGCTGATGATGAATTCTTTCTTTCGAGCACTTCAAGTGTGTACTCAATGTGTTGCTGAACCTGTGACGGACGACCAGCAGGTACCTAGCCGGCTAGGCAGTACAATTCCCCGAAATTTCCATGAGCCCCATGAGCCTCGGTTTACAGAGTGTCTCATCGGGGAGCAGGGAGAAGGGAGGAGAGATATGCAGAATGCAAGACTCTCTGGCTTATTGGTTGTGTGACAACAGACAAAAGAAGCCCCAGTAATTAAAGCGGAATTCCAGGAACTCATCTACGAAATCTCAGATAAGATACGGCAGAACAGGCTGAAAGGCAAGGAAGATACTGCAATTTAAGCCAAACAAACACGGACACGGACACAGCCACAACCACAACCAGATGCCAAAAGCGATGCCAAACTCAATTTAAAGAGAGGGAGAGGACGGGAGCATCCATCCCATGTCCATGTCCAGGGATTCTGTCATCAGTCTCTGGTCTGGACCATAAATCTCCCGCCACCCTCCTGTTACCCGCAAAATGAGAGCAGACGGAGATACGTTTAGAATTTGATTGAATGAATGTGAAAAGCAAATCATCGTCCGAGGCATTCAATGCCAATACTCTGTAGCACACACGCAAAATTTGTTCGATGCGGGAGATGGCTTTACCTGTGGAACCGTCTCCAGTCCTCCCCTCCCGCCCCAAGCCCCATGCCCCATGCCTCATGCCCCATACCTCCTGCCTCATGCTACCGTGTGTTATTCTGGCTTTATCAGTCGTTCGTTCTTTTTGTTGTTCTTGTTGGATCTCTGTCCCTCTCTCGCTCCCTCTCTCTGTGTGCTTTCGGTGCACAAACATTTTTCAGTTGCGGCTCGCTCGCTCGCTCCCTCTCCCTCTCTCTCTCTCTCTCTCTCTGCCTGTCTTTTGTGTGTGTGTTGCCGGGGAAATGGGTGACCCCGAGACCCTCGTCGCGCCGTACTACCCCTCGGACGTACGGACGTACTGGCAGGCAGTTGGTTGGTCATTAAAACTACTCGCAGAGTCGAAAAAAAGGTTTCTATTTTTAGCAGTGATACAACAGAGCAGAAACCCCCAAACAAAACCAAAAACCAAAACCAGAGCCAGAGCCAGAGAGAACTTTTGCTCAATCAAATCGAATCTAAACGAAACGAACCGTTTTTCGGGGCAGGCACCTTTCGTTTACTCTTATTAACGCTTCCCCACTTCGGAGCTAGTGCCCACTACTGCCTTTGGCATGTATCTGTATCTGCACCCGTACCCGTATCCGTATCCGTATCCGTTACTGTATCTGTATCTGTATCTGTAGCTGCTCTGAATGCAGTATATATTTCATCAAATTTTTGTACTCGCAATAAATTCTCATCGTCTCCCATTTCTTTCCTCGTTTCTTTTTTTTTGCAGTTTATTTCGTCGCAGCTGAGATGCCAATTGATTTTGATTTTTGCAAATTTTAACAAGACATTTATATGATTTGATATCGCGACGAAGGAGGAATTCGCATACGAATTACAGCACAATTTTTGAGCAAAAATTCAGTGGACCGGACCGCAACGCACCGCACTGGTCGCACGGGGACGGGGCAAGGTCATATCGATTGTCATCAGCTACTGTCATTGCCACACACACACACACCCATACAGAGGCACACACGAGTCGCACAGAATGGCTAGCCTGCTGCACAAGCCTGGGAGGTGCTTGCACCATATGCTTATAATATATGGACTAATATTTGTATCCAGTGCAACGACACGTAAGTAGAAGAAACAGAGAGACATCTGACTCCGACTCCCACTCCCACTCCCCCTCCATGCATCTGAATCTGCTGAATGTTTACCCAAGAGTTATTAAGTGTCGAGAGAACATTTTAATTTATATTCGTGCTCACATATGCATCCATACATATGTATATACATATGTGTATGCACATATTTATTTATCGCACTTGTCGCTGTATCGTATTTATTGTCTGGTCTATTTGTTTATGACCTTATCAAATTGTATGAGTATCATCAGGTAGTTTAGCATCCCCTCCACGATGCAGAACAGCAAGACATTGTTCAGCTTGAACAGTCCACAGGCTCTAACCGCAAATATGTGCTCGGCATTCTTCAGGTACAGTCCGTAGTAGTGAAGCTGCAGAGATGATAAATCGATTAATGATCGAATGAAAAATCAAAGATATCTCCATTTTTGAGTGCTTTGCGACTGAACAGAAAATCGATAAAAGAAACGAATCGATAAATGAAGGATACCGCAAAAGTGGCGAGTGATAATCGATTAATAATCGAAGGAAATATAAAAAAAAACATTTTTCCGAAGCGTTTTAACTGCTTTAAGTAATTCGATAAATAAAAGAGTTATAAATCGATTAATGATCGAATGAAAAATCAAAGATATCTCCATTTTTGAGTGCTTTGCAACTGAACAGAAAATCGATAACATTAAGTAATAGCAAAAATCGATTAATAATCGAGAAAAATGTCACAAAGTTCAAAGTTCAGAGAAACGAATCGATAAATGAAGTATACCGCGAAAGTTGCGAATGATAATCGATTAATAATCGAAGGAAATATAAAAAAACACATTTTGCCGAAGCGTTTTAAGTGCTTTAAGTAATTCGATAGATTAATAATCGAATGAAATATCACAACAATTTGCATTTTTTAAAGTTTTGGGCGACTTTGGATCAGAGATAAGATGTGCCTACGATGTCTCCTGGATCATTTAATTTATAAAATCCCCTGATTTTACACAGATTCAACTCTCAGCGTTCGCTTTGATTTATCCATGAAGAACTTACAGTTTCATTGAGCTGTTTGACCGTGCCACCCGGGGGCAGGGCCAGCACACCACTCCTGAGTACCTCCCGGGTGTGGGCGAAGCGACGGATCATCCGATGAGTGAGGCATATGACCAGCACGAGATTGGCGAAGAGGCTCGCCACGAAGGTCATGGCGTAATAGTTGAAGGGGAAGGCGCGGTGGTATTTTCGCAGAATGAATTTGCTGTAGTGCATGAAGTATGTGAAGAACATATGCACCATGCACTCCATGGCCACCAGGCTCACAAAGCAGACAGCCTGGAGGCCGGTGAGCGAGCATATGGAACGGAAGAGGGCCAGCAGCTGGTGGTGGACGTGGAGCAGGCGCCAGAGCTCGAGGGCCAGCCACGTCTGCTGGCTGTGGTACAGCTGCTGACGCCGTCGAATGATGCCATAGCCGAGGGGAGCCCGTAGGGACGCGGCATCCGCAAGGAGCCTGGCCAGCAGTTGATTTGAATGATACCCCAGGTGGTCGAGCAGCACCAGGACCAGGACGTAGAGGCCCAGGGAGAGCCTCAGGATCAGTTGGCAGGCGTAGATGAACAGCAGGCTGAAGACGTACAGGAAATTTTCCCTCACCGCGGGGTCCCACGCCAGTATCTGGAGGGTGTGCACCGGCGACAGGATAAACACCCCGATGAGCACACCTACGATTAGCAGGTTGCCCCTTGTGGACAGACGGTCGATGGACTGCCTCAGCTCTGGGGTGTGCATCAGGCGCATCAACCGGCGGCGACACCTAAGCAACTGGTTCAGACACCCGACGATCTCCTCCTGCTTCGTGGTGTGGATGCAGACCGTGGCAAAGGCGCAGAGCAGCATCAGGACATAGCGGTTGAAGCCAATCAGCAGGAGCAGCCGGTTCTGGCGCAGAAAGGCCATCCGATGGTAGACCGAGGCGAAGGCGATGGGCGAGAAGCAGCCCACGAAGACGAGCATCGCATAGCCATGGATGCGCCAGTAGAGGGACTGCCGGACCCGGTGCCCTCCACGCGGCGTGGAGGCAGCCATCAAGCCAAAGACCTTGGCCAGTCCGTAGAGCACGAGCAGCGCCGCTATCGCCACTTTTCGTAGCCAGTAAAATGTCAAACCCGCCAACGACGACGACGCCATATCGTTGTGAATGCAACTGGCATTCTGTGCGGTGCGCCACAGAGAGTCGAGGACACATAATCGAATCAAAGCCAAAGGCAATGGCGCATTGGCGCATTGGAGCATTGGAGCATTGGTTACGCCAGCTATTAGCCTGATTGAATTTCATTTAGCCAAGGCGTTCACTCAGCCAGATATAATCTCTGGCTCTCTGGCTCTGTCTCTGACTCTGGCCCTCAGATATACACATGTAACACATTCAACGAGCAGTCACCGCCCACAACAAAAGGGTTTCATGGATACGATGGATATGGATGGATGGATGGATGGATGAATGAACGGGATGCACTGGGCAAACGTTTGACACACTTTGTAGCCTTGAAAGCCTACGCATTGCCTTCTCCTACGTCTTATGTCCAAATTTCCCATAAGCGAATGGCTTGCAGGGATTTTGAAAGTAGGAATGTCTCCATTGCCTGTGTCCCAGTTTTGGCCAGTGTAGGAAACCCTGCGGATAGGCAAACGCAAATCACATTTCAGTTAGATATTGCATCTGTTAGATACTCCAACGAAAATTAGGTGAAATCAAAGAGCTTATGGTCTGTGGCTTGCTCTCGACACTCTCTGTGTCTCTCTGAGTACAGTTTTGAGCAGCCAAATCAGTCAATATCCAAGTGGCTTTGCCCCATTTCTCTCACCTGTGAATGGCTGAAAGGTGAAACACGAAGGGGGCGCTTTGCTGTACCCCCGTTTACGGGTTAAGATGGATTCAATCTGGGATTCCAATCAATGTCGAAGCGGGCGAGTGGATCGGAGAGGGGGAGAGGGTTGGGGTTTGGGGATAAACTAACAATTTAAATTCCTGACACACTTCCTTTCGGTGTGCCATACGAAAGAGTGATTTCTGTGGCTCTGGCCACAGTCTGTATCTGTATCTGTATCTGTATCTTTTCCGAGTATCTGTATCTGTGGCGGCACCAGGAGTTGGGAAATAAAAAGCGTTGTACCTCGTTGTCGTTGGATTATTAAAAAAGTTTTTCGCTTTTTAAAGAGTTTTTCTCTTCCTCCCTCGCAATACCCAACCCCCAACCCCCGACCCCTTGATGTTTTTCATTCATGCTGCTGCTGCTGCTGCTACAAACACACATAAAATGCAAAACACTCGAGTGTCTATATGCGTATGGCGGTGTGTGTACTTTCATCCTTTATGAAAACTTTCCACGGGGCTGTTTATAAGTTTCTCACCATCAGAGAGGCGGAGAGGCAGCAGCAGAAGAAGCAGAAGAAGAAGAAGTATCCCCATGTATCCTACGGAGTACTCGCACAAGTTTGTGTGCGCTTTTGTCCTCTTCCTGTTATTGCCGCACCGCCACCATTCTGGCTCTTTTTGTATCTGACGGGTTGCTGTTGCTGCCGCTGCTGCTGCTGCTGCTGCTGTTGCGTCTCCATCTCTATCTCTATCTCTGGGTTGTCTGCCTCCAGTTCTAGTTTCGGTTTTGGTTCTGGTTCTGGTGCTGTTTCTGGTTCTGGCTTTATCTGAATAGGCAGCCAAGTGTGCGGTTTGGTTTTTATCTAGGTTAGGTGGCTGCTACTCCAATCCCCCGTTTCCCCCCCCCCCCCCCCCGTTCCCCCCGCTCGCCCCGGTCTCCTCGTCACCGAATGCATTGCCCTGTCCTCCATCTGACGGCTAATTCATTCACATTTTTTCGTGTTTCGTGTACTCTGTAGAACCCCCCAACCAGCCATAGAAGGGTATGCACATTTTTGCGAGGCAGCTTGCCCTCGAGGCTGTCATGTGTGTCCTGTGTGTGTGCAGGAAGATGCAGTTGTTCCCCAAAATGTTGTAGATTTTGCCCATATAAAAGTGTTTCAGAGCTTTAGAAAGTACATTGTAGAAAAATGCCCCAGGAAGTACACCTCAAGAAAAAATCAATGTGCACCGAAAGTGGAAAGTGTTTTTCAAAATCACTTCAAATCTCTCGATTCTATAATTTATTTAGATATTCCTAAAAACACTTTGAAATGTTGAAATCAAAGTGAAATATAGTAGTGTGTTTCTCTGAGTGTAGCTATGAAGATTTATGGAAATATGCATTATAAAGAGTAGATCTGCAGGATCTGCAAAGCCAGAGGCCACGTTTTTGAGGTGCCCGTGTGGCAGACATAGAGTATTCGCTCCGTCTGTGTGATGGGAGGCGTGGATCAGCGGCCTCACGAAAATCAAGTTGAGCAGCATTTAAATTGTTTGCATTTTTGTTTGTTTTTTGAGGCATTTCGGGGACATGCCTGCTCGTTTAAGTCTAACCTCCCGTCGCCGTCGCCGTCGCCGTTGCCGTCGACATTTGCCGAAACTTCAAAGTCAGATTGCGCACTCAATACGACAGCGAATGAGTGACCCCCCGACCCGGCCCGACCCGACTCCAATCCAATCCCAACAACTGTCCCAACTGTCCCGCTGATAACACGACAGCGAAAGAGCGAAAAGCGAATGTCAACGGAACACAAGACAAACTTTAATTAAATAAAGTGTAAGAAGTTTTCATGGGAGCTCTCCTTCAAAGCAGCCCTCAGTTTGGAGACCCACCGAGCCCCCGACACCCCACCGAACCACCAAACAACATTCTGTGGCATCAGCCGAGACTTCAAAGTGCAGGTCCAATGAAAATCGGATGAAAAAAGACCCCGAACCCCGAACCCGGGAAGGAGACGGCATAAAAAACTAAAGTTTTTAATATTCGAAGGAGAAGATGCTTGTGCTTAAATTAAGTCGATTTTTTTTCAAGCAGATATTTACTTTGTCCCGACTCTCGAACCCGTGAACCCCCGAACTCTCGATTGTTTGTTCGCTTCGAAATCGAGCGATAAAAAAGGGAAAAAGGAAGGGAAAAAACAAAAAACAAAAACGTCAAAGGAGGAAAATTTCCCATTATATGGGCGAGTGAAAATGACAAATTAACTTGAACAATGGAAAGCCCTTACCGTGCGACAGGGAAAAGAGGAAAAACTGTGTGGCAGAGAAAGCTTCCCGAAAATTCAATAGAAATGCTCGTGCAGGAAAGGAGTGTCAGGCGTAGTACTCGTATAAAATTAATGGAAAACCAAACACACACTCCACAGTCAACAATCAACAATCAACAATCGGGCATCAATAGAAGGAAACTTTAATTGGTTTACTGCGAAGAGGGTCCACTGTTCGGTAATGAATCACTTGCCGTAGATACTCGTATAACCAGGGGACCAGTCGTCCATCAGATAGGACTCGACCTTAATGCATTTGGTCTGCGAAAAAGGAGGAGGTTTCATGAGCATAAAGATATGGCAGATCCATAACATGGCTGGGAATTATAAATACTGGAGAAGTGGAAGGTTCTTTGTTCCTTTCTTTCTAAATGATCTTCCTCTGGGTTTCATATCTTATACCAGGAATATTGAGTCCCTTTTTGGACCTTTTGCAGGTGTCGATAAGGAAATGAAATATTTATCAAAACTCAGTTAAAGACCGAAAGGTCTTTAGTTGGCCTTTAGAATTTGGTTTCCTTCAAAGAGGTCTCTTAAAGACTATTAAGACACTTATGGCCCAAGGAAGCTAAATTAACATCGTCTCTATGGGGCCCCTCGAATCAAGCGATTTTCGGCACTTCAATTAGATCGTATTGTGGTTGCTCTTTCGGGAGAGGAGGAGCTCCTGACATTCCTCCCAGCATTCCCTGCCTCCTGCCGCCAACTTAAGCCACCACTAAGAGCCACCTTCATATTTTATTGACAAGCAAAACCACTAACGAGTCTCCCACATCTCTCATATTTCGTTACAGTCGACCTTCCACCGTTGCCGGATCTATGCGACTCAATTAAATGTCCGCCCGAGTCGGATATGCAGTGCCCGGCGGATAGCTCCGTACGCGAGACACTAAATGCCGTGGACCTCATTAAATGGAATGCGGTCGACACTGCCATCCACCCAGGAGCAGGGGCAGGGGCAGGAGCAGGAGCAGGGGGAGGAGCAGGAGTTGGAGCCACAGCCGTTGCCGTAACCGCTGTAACCGCAGCGGAGTCGCAGATGTCGTACAACACGAGCCTCATACCCGACGAGGCCTACGCCCAGTGCTGCCTGTCGAAGAAGTGTGTGTGCCGGACGTGCTACATACCGGACTGCGACACGGCTGCGGGGGAGGTTGTGGTGGAGGTGCTGCCGGAGGCGATGGACACGCCGGGCCAGTGCTGCGGGGAGTACCAGTGCCGGAAGGAGCCCAACTGCACGGAGGTGCGGGAGACGGACTTCTACTGGCTGCAGCAGTGCCAGCGCTGTCAGTGCACCTCGGGGGCACGCATCTGTCGCCAGAGCTGCGACGAGGCGGACGCCGAGAAGGTCGAATCGAATGCCATTTGCGAGTCGAAGAACCTCAACGAGTACTTCAAGGACGGCGACACCTGGCGGGACGAGTGCCTCGAGTGCGAGTGCGTCCGGGGGGAGCAGAAGTGCACGATATCCTCCTGTGGGAATGTCGACTGCCCCATCGAACGGCATGTCTACCTCAGGGACACCTGTTGTCCCGTATGCTGGCCCGAGGGCCATCCCATGCCACATGAAAAGCAAAAAGACGATGCGGATGTAGATGTAGATGCAGATGCGGAGGGAGGTGGCGATTACAAGGAGGACGATTCCATCGAGGAGATAGAGGAACAGCCTGTTCCGCCGCTGCTCCCCGAGACCACGCAACGGACCACAAGTTCGGTTAGTGCGGAGCTTCTGGCCAGCACCACCACCACCACCACCACCACAACGACAACGACAACAACAGCAGCCCCATCCACATCTTCCACAGCTGCCACAGCGGCCTCGCAGCAGCCATGCTGCCTGTGCTCCTACGAGCTGGAGCCCAAAATGGTGGAGGTTGTGGGCGAGAACAATGACTTCTCCTTCTGGCTGATGGCCTTCTTTGTGGTGCTCCTGCTGTTCGTCTGCCTGATGCTCAGCTCTTACATTCAGCACTTGCGTGCCAAGAAACGTTCCTACGATCCGG